TGGAGATAACAGTTTCGTTTACGACTTTTAACAGCAGGCGATGCACTAAAGCAGCTAGGAAATAGTGAAGGGGAAATAACGCTTGTACCGTAAATTTGTCTTTTGAAATACTCCAAGGAGATTGGCCAGTTATGGCCTGAGCAGGGGCCTTTCAGACCTTGCTGACACCATGTCTGGTGTTCAAAGAGACATACTAAAGGAACATGCACGGGTGGGGGGGATCATGAAAACAAACAGAAATAACAGATTTCTTTCAATAAAAAAAACTATTCAATGACAGAATAAAAATAATTACATCTTATATTTTGTGGCTTTATTTAATTTAATAGTACTCTTATTTAACTATGTTCCCTGCAAATATTATATTTTTGTCTCATTTTATAATAAAGTTATAGGTGTTTAAAAAAAGGCAAAATAAGGGTCACAAAATGTGGAGGAAAATCCCATAGTGAAAAAGGGGTTTTGAGGCCCCTACTAAAAAATTCATAACTTTTGAACCACTTGAGCTAGAAAGTTGATCTTGATGTTTTTATAATCTACTCTCCAGGCTCTATACAGCTATAGTGTTTTTATATTTTTAAAAATGTTTTGAAATTTTAATCAAAGTCCCTAGTTAAGAAGGCCTCTAAGCCTCTAAGCCTAAGTGGCCTAGGCCTAAGCCTAAGCCCAAGGCAATGAAATTTAAGCACGATTAATTATTTCTAGTGATATAAAATTAAAACTTCCTCTTCACCTGATGGCCTAAAATAGCGTCTTTTTGTTCATGTACAATATCCATTTAACAAAATTGAACAAGATAAAAAAAAAGGTAGCCTACAGTTCATGAATATTTTATCTTTTGTCATTTACGACGCCGTTGTGGGAAAAACAAGGAGAACTCTTCTGTCTTCAAAGATACGTTATAAAAGTTGCCCAATTGGATATATTTAGATTTAAATAATTTTTTAAACATTTTATAGATCTATCTACTTTGATATTTCTTTCTAGCCCACTGGATCCCTGCACAGCAATGTAAAGGTGGTACTCGCAAGGGACCTCAATATCAGGGGGCGCATTCGCCCAGGGCGCTGCTTTTCCTTTACACGGTTGTGCATCCATTTCGGACAGAACGCTGCTCGAATTTTGAGGGTGGGCGCATGGGCGCCCGCAGAAAATTTCCTGGGGGGGGGGGGGTTTAAAAAAAATCGATTTTTTTTCCGGGGGGGGGGGGAAAAAA